CAAGTTGATAACATCCCAACACAGATGTCTGACAGATTTAATCTTGTTAAAGATCAAATTGCCGAAGTTTGATATCCTGACACAGATATCTGACAGATCTGATTCGATATGAATCAAATTGCCGAATTTATGAATCAAAATTTCTCTAAGAAACGAATATATAAAGTGAATATCTGGAAGTATAAAAATGAAATAAATAATAAGAAAAAACTTCTCTTAGTATAAAAGTTCGTTTGATTGATAGAAACTTCTTGTTATTTGATACTTTTCTTTTTGCCAGTTTTTGAAAGTAACTGCTCAGAATATTAGTGAGAGTGATTGATTAGAATTGTACAAACACTTTTATCATCATATATGATTACTACCAATTTAATAACATCCCGACACGGATGTCTGACAGATTTAATCTTGTTAAAGATCAAATTGCCGAAGTTTGATATTCCGACACAGATACCTGACAGATCTGATTCAATATGAATCAAATTGCCGAAATTATGAATCAAATTTCCCTAAGAAACGAATATATAAAGTGAATACCGGAAGTATAAAAATGAAAGAAATAATAAGAAAAACTTCTCTTAGTATAAAAGTTCGTTCGATTGATAGAATAGAAACTTCTTGTTATTTGACATGATTCTTTTTGCTTCTTTTCTTTTTGCCAGTTCTTAAAGTAACAGAGTATTAGTGATTAGAATTGTACAACCACTTTTACATAATCTATCATCATATACTACCAAGTGATAAAATCCTGACACAGATGTCTGACAGATTTAATCTTGTTAAAAATAAAATTGCCGAAGCTTGATATCCCGACACAGATACCTGACAGATCTGATTCGATATGAATCAAATTGCCAACATTATGAATCAAAATTTTCTCTAAGAAACGAAAATGTATAAAGTGAATATCTGAAAGTATAATAAAAGAAATAATCATATAAACCTCCCTCTCTTAGTATAAAATTTCATTCGAATTTATCATCATATGGGCTGCCATCAAAAGAAATCAAGCAAATTTTTTTTAGAACCTTTTTTTAAAGTTTAAATCAAAATAACTTAACAAAAACTTGATCAAATTTGATAAAATTTTTTTAAGTTAATTCTATAAGTTTAAAAAATTAATTTTAAAAAAATTTTATCAAATTTGATGAAATTTTTGTTAAGTTATTTCTGTTCAAAGTTTCAAAAAAATTTTATTATAAAAAATTTGCTTGATTTCTATTGACTCACGCCCATATGTTACTCCAAGTTAATAACATCTCAACAACATTTTGATATTCTGACACGGGTATTTGACAGATCTGATTCGATATGAATCAAATTTCCGAATTATAAATCAAAAACGAATGTATATAAGTGAATATCCAGAAGAATAAAAATGAAAGAAATGTAATCATATAAACCTCCCCTAGTATAAAAGTTCATTTAATTGATAGTGTAGAAAAGCAAGTAGTTGATCAACTCATATATTGAGATTTATATATTTATAGTACCTTAACAAATTAGGTGCTTATATAGAGGTGATATACAAACCTGCATAATATAAATAATTACTTTAATGTTTTTATTATTAACAATATTTTGAATTAGTGATGTGATGTAAGCCAATATTCATTTAAAATTTTTGTTGAAATTTTTTTATATTATTCATTTAAACTAGTTTTATAAATACATCATAATTAATACAAATCTTTAAATTAAACGGTGGCTTTTATGTTATTTACAATTTTTCTAAGGTCACTTTTTTTAGAACGATCTGATATAAATAGTCCTAAAAGTTCTAAATAACTGAAAAAAAACACCATGTCTCCTCCATGAAATCATGGTAAATCAAGTGGAAAACCAAGATGTCCTAAATGCGGATTACATTTTAAAGATCTAAATAGACATGTCGTAAGGATTCATAAGACAACATTAAAACGACAAGTTGCGCAAAATATTCAAGATCAAGATGTTCAAGTTCAAACTAGACAAGACAGAAGAAATGAAAGATTATATAATAAGTCTCATCTAATTAAAAAAATGGGGAATTTACATATAGGGGCCCGAAAAGTAAAAATAATTACAAATAAGGGCCCAAATTGAAAATAATTACATATAAGGGCCTGATATTTAAAAAATATTACATAAAAGGGCCCAAAATCGTCATTAATTAAGTACCTTGCATTAAGAAATGTAATCATAAATTGTAAATTAATACGTAATTATAAATGAGAGAAAAATAGGCTTTGATCTAATAAATTTCATTTGTTTCATCTAATATTACCTATTTTTATAACAAACCTGCTCTATCAAATACAACACTACAAATCGGTATGACATTTTCTGATATGGAAAGCGTTCGTTCAGCTCTAGAGAACTACTCAGTTGAAACCTATTCGCCTTATAAGTTCAGGACTAATAAATCCAACAAACTACTTGTTGTTTGTTCCACGTATGAAGCAGATGAAGCTA